CAAATGTTAACACAAAGGTTAACCTTTTTTTTTCCCACAAACTCCCCATATTTTCCATATTTTCCATATTTCTCATAATACGTATCTCTAATATCTCTTAATACCTCCTAATTTTGTTATTTTTATTAATCTCCGTTAATTTCCGGCTTCTCCTTGAGTCATGGTGAATCTCGGCTTCGATTCTGATTGGTTACCTTGCTTTTCTACTTTTTGCCGCATGTACTGATATTTTTGATTGTCTATTAACGATTGATATAGAAGATAAGTTATGAGAATTATTTATCGAACGTTTGACAAAAAAATGAATAATAGAATTTTTATACGTATACTTACAATAATATGTTGTGTAATAAAAAATGAATAAATGAATAAGTAAAATATGTACTGTAAAAAAAAAAAAAAAAAATCGGGTTAAACATAAAAAAAATATTTATATTTATATATAATAAAAAAATAAATTGACTTCTTCCTTACCTTTTAAAAAAAAAAATTTCGGTTTTGACACAAAACTTCGGCTTATTTTTTTTTTTTATTTATACATACGTATATATATACACACATATATATTTATATATTATATAATATATATATATGTAGATAGAAATAAGTATATAAATATCAATAAAAGAACCCTAACCTAATCCTTATAGCACTCTGTCTTCTCGCACATAAAAACCTTCAACTTTTACTTGCCCTATTTTTTTTTTTTTTCTCTTCAAATCTCTATTTGGTTTTACATAATCGATAAGAAAAGAAGTAAGTCTTATCTGAGCTATCCTTATCTGTTATTTTCTTTATTAATCAGTATTGTTAGTTTTATCTTAATTATCTTAAATATTTACCAATAATTCCCGGTCTCTTTTTCATAGGCGGTCTGCTTTCTCTCTTCTTTCTTTCCTATATTCTCTTTATATCTACTTCGTATTTGTAAAAAAATTCTCGACTTTAAAAAAAATAGTCAACTTCCTTTCTATTATCAAACTGCCTTCAATAATAAAAAACCACGAAAGCGTGGCGATTTCAGCCCGCAATAATTCAAAAATAATTTTCTTTAACGACGATAAAACTTCAAATCTTTCAACTGAAATTCTATAATCACATTATATTATAATTATCACAATGCAACCAGTTATAATGACTCCTGACGATAACCTTAACGGTATCGTTCAACGTCCTCCAGAAATTTGTGTTGACTATCTTTCTCATGAGTGGAATAAAGAGGATGATATTTGGACTTCTTGGAGAGTTATGTCAAAGCAGAAGAAAGAAATCGCTAATGGAATCCGTCTAGAAAATGCTTCTTGGAGAACTTGGGCGAAACAAAAGTATAAACTAAAAACTGTAAACCCTGAAAAACTTAATTGGTAAATAATAAATTAATTATTAAATTATTAAATAATAATTAACAATAACAATAATAATTAATAATAATAATTAACAATAATTATTAACAATAATTATCTTTATTTATTTATTTATTTATATATATATTTTTTTAATAGGCTTAAAGACAGTGATGTAACTTGGTTATATGGCCCTTTACATACTGCATGGAATTCTGCTCATGAAAAAAGTTGTCAAAAATCTCCAACAACCGAAGATGAATTAAATTTATTACCTTCTTCACCTCATCATAAATCTTGTCTGAAAAAGAAATCTATTTCGGAAACTTTACGTCCTAGAGGTAGATCTCATTTGGTCTCTAGTAATTCTGATACTCAATTATATAAACAAATTCGTGAAAAAAAAGATGATGATAGTGATATTAGCGATTGTGATTCCTTTTCTACTTGTTCTTCAATATCTGGTCCTTCCACTCCTTTATCCGGTCCTACAAGATCTTCTTTATTACCTCCTGTCGCCGAAGATAATCCTGTTCATCATCATCATATTCGCTTTAATGACCAAGTTGAACAATGTATCGCTGTTGATTCTGACGAAGATGATGATCATTATGATTCGGATCATGATAGTAGTAGTGATGAAGGCTTAGAAATGAAAATTTCTTTAAAAAAGAAAAAGAAAGCTTACCCAACTATATGTAAGCTTGCTCCAACAAAATTAAAATCAGACGCTATTAATTATAATGTTTATTCCGGTATCAAACGTAGTACTTCTACTCCTTCTACTTCTTATAATTCTTCTCCTTCTTATAATTCTTCTCCTTCTTGGATGTTTGATGATGATGATTTTGATGTAGATGATATAGATGTCGATATGTTTGATTATTTTGACATTTCAACAACTTCTTCTCACTCAATACCAATAATACCTTCTGTTTCAAATACTTTAAATCATCAAGATCCGGAAATAATACCACGTCCACAAGATGGTCATCCACAAGATGATCTTAATCATGACCAATTTCCACAAAACGGTGATGGAATTGTGGTCAGAGCCGTACACATAGTTCATAGTGTTCGAGAAATTGTAAATTGGTGTTCTAGTATGGTTTTTAATATTTAAATCTTAAAAATCATTCGTTTTATTTTTATTATGGGGATGAAAAAGATGGGGAATGAGAAATTTGGGAAATATAGGAAATTTGGGAACTATGAGAAATATGGAAAATATGGAAAATATGGGGAGTTTGTGGGAAAAAAAAAGGTTAACCTTTGTGTTAACATTTG